AATTTTTTAAGTAATAATGCATATATTGTTTTACGTTTTTAATTGTCATAATGACATGAATATGTACACTTAAATTTACATGCATTAATGTATATACAAATATACACATAGATTTACCTTTTTTTTCGTTCGTTCACTTACCTTCCTTCTCGTTCGTTTACTTACCCTTTACACTTGTATACTTACCTTTGCCTACTTCTATTTTCGCTATATACTTACCCCTTCATACTTTACCATTCTTTCGCTCTCCTCTCCTCCCTAATATAAGCCGCTACCTAATAAATATATATATGATGGCATAGGTTAAGAAACTGAAACTGAATGATTAATAAACACTTGAATTGTTACAATAGAATTGACCGGTCGTGTTCAATCTTGATTTTAATACGCAGGCAACTATCTAAATAATTACGTGCGCATAAGTATGTACAAATCTAGTTCCTTAAACTAATTCTTCGCGCTCCCGTATAAAAATCATCAGTGCTTAAACCTAAATAAAATTATAGTTTAAAAAACTAAAACTTCCCTATTATAATTGCCATTCGTACTGTCATCAGGTATGTAACTTGAGAATAGAAATCGCTGCATCTTTTAGGCGCATCAATATTACATGTAAACATAGTTGCTATCACGATACCGTTTATTGGGCCATCACTTGGGTTTGTTTGTCTAAGCACAAAAAGTCATCGACAGTACAGTAGCAGCAGTCAGTACGAAAAGTTGTCCGTCGTGAAAGGTCGTAAAAGTTGTCAGCATCTGTTCGTTTCCTGTATCAAATCCAATACCGTTTATCTTATCAATTTCTTCGTCTCATATTTCAAATTATATTTGTATATAACTTTCATATATTTTAAATAAAACATATCGGTGTACTTATTCAATTAAAACACTAACTCTTACATTTGGGGGCTCAACCGGGCCAAGATATACAATACAATTAAAGAGAGGAAGAACGGTTCATAATGTATGTATGACTGTGTGATTTAGTAATGCTAAGCAACAAAGACACGGAAGAGCAAAAGCAGGAACGGAGAAAACGTTATGAAAATCTGCTAAATAAGAGAAACCAGTCGTCGCCTCTGTCGTCAGAGGAAAATCTTAAAAGCGGTATACCCGAGCAAAATCTACAAAAAGTTCAATACACCACTCCACAAAAATCAGACGTAAATTCAAATCAAAAAGCCTCAGACACAGCGATCGAAAAAGAAGGAGAAACAACGACAGAAAACGTAGTGAGTGAACAAGAAGATAAGCAGTCGGCAGAAGTTGAAATCGAAGTTTTAAACAAAGAAACGCAAACAACAAAAATGGGAAACGAAGACGATCAAAAAATGCAAGTAAATGGTGCTGATTTAACGGAGGTTTTACGTTTAGTCGCACTAAAATTAGAACAACAAAATCACCCTGTCGTATTTGACTCGTTCGCTAAAGTTATAGGTGAGTTTGACGGCGAAACAACGCCAGTGAAATGTTGGTTTGAGAATTTTGAAAAAAATGCCACAGTCTATCAACTCAACGAACAACAAAAGTATGTGCAAGCGAGAAACAAAATGACAAAAACTGCTCAATTGTTTTTGCAGTCAGTTGTATTGAGTGATTATGACAGTTTAAAAACAGAGCTCATAAACGAATTCCATAAAGAGTATAATAGTGCTGAATTGCATAAGAAGCTGTGCGAGCGAAAGAAAAAAGAGGAAGAGACATTTCAGGAGTATGTGTTACAAATGAAAAAACTCGCTGCACTGGGCAATGTCGAAGAAAAGGCAATTATTCGTTATGTTGTTGATGGGCTGAAAGTGAGAAGCGAAATTAAGTATTCATTTTACGAAGCAAAGACAATCAAAGAACTCAAAGAAAAGCATGAAATGTTTGAAGCGGCGAAAATAAGTGAGCGAAATGGCAACGAAAAGTGGAATCACAATAGAAATACCGACAATCGAAAAGAAAAAGCCAATGCGAGCACAGGTGGGAATGTATCGAAAAGAAAAATAGAACATTGTTACAATTGCGGCTCGAAAGAACATAAGAGAGCAGAATGCAAAGAAGAAGTGAAGTGCTTTAAATGCAACAAACAGGGACATATTGCTAAAGACTGTGGAAAAAGTGCAGAACAAGTTAACATTATTAAACAAGAGAAGCGATTAAAAAGCTTTGTGGTAAACGACCAAAACCTACTGGGTTTTATTGATACAGGTTCTGATGTGTGTATTGTGCAAGAACATGTGCTAAAAAATGTTCTAAAGAATGTTAGCGTTGAGAGTACGAGCACAACGTTATACGGTCTTGGAAATGTACCAACAAAAACAAAAGGCTACTTTAGTGCATGGGTGAAAGCAGATGGGCTAGAAGTAGAACAGAAATTTGTTATTGTTTCAAATGGTGTAATTAAACATTCTGTTTCGATCGGAAATGATTTTATGGACAAATTTGAGTACAATTGCGATGGTAATGGCTATACATTCTTACGGGTGTTAAATGAAGAGCAAAGCGGCAATGTGTACCAAATAATCGAAAACGAAATCGACTGTGGTAAAATTACTGAGCAAAACAAAAAACAAATAAACGAAATGCTAGCATCGTATACAGTGAAGCCAAAAGAATCTGAATGCCCAATCCAACTTAAAATAATACCAGATAACGCGATTCCTTTTCATCAGTCGCCAAGTAGATTGCCACATAGCCACCAAGTAGAAGTAGAAACTCAAGTCCAAGAGTGGCTTAAAGTAGGAATTGTGCGTAACTCAACGTCGGAGTATGCAAGCCGTGTAGTTGTTGCAAAAAAGAAAGATGGTTCATGTAGAGTATGCATAGACTTCCGCAAATTGAATACTATGGTGCTTAAAGATACATTCCCAGTACCAGTGATCGACGAAGTACTAGAAAAATTACAATCTGCGAAATATTTTACGGTCATGGACTTAGAGAACGGCTTTTTCCATGTGCCAGTTGAAGAGAACAGTAAAAAATATTTGGCATTTGTAGTGAAAAGTGGTGTCTACGAATTTAATCGTGCGCCATTTGGGTTTTGCAACTCACCAGCAGCGTTTATCAGGTTCATCACGTTTATCTTTCAAGAACTGATTAACGAAGGCGTTATCGAATTGTATATGGACGATATCGTTATCTACAGCGAAACAATAGAAGAGGGTCTTGAAAAGTTACAAAAGGTTTTAGTCTGTACAGCTAAATATGGACTTAAAATAAAGTTAAAAAAATGTTCATTTCTAAAGCAGCAGATCGACTTTTTGGGACATACAGTGCAGAACGGAACAGTAAAACCGGGAAAAGAAAAAACTAAAGCAGTCAAAAAGTTTCCAATGCCGCAGAATGTGAGAGCCGTCCAGTCATTTCTCGGCTTGACAGGCTACTTTCGCAAGTTCATCAAAGGGTACGCTGAAATAGCGCGACCACTGACAGAATTGTTAAAGAAAACAGGTCAAAAATTTACTATGGGAACAGCTCAAATACAGTCAGTGCTAAATCTGAAAGCTTGCTTGACTAAGGAACCAATTCTTCAACTCTACAACCGTCAGGCAAAAACTGAGCTGCATACAGACGCTTCGAAGTTTGGTTTTGGCGCTGTTCTCATGCAGCAAGTAAACGATAAATTTCATCCAATACAGTTTTGGAGCAAGAAGACATCTGAAGCAGAGGCAAGTTAGTAGTTACATCCCGAGCTAATAAGAGGAAGGTAAAAAGCCTTTTCGCCACAAATTAGTGACGATTTTTCAACATTCAAATTAAGTTTAAAATCGCCGCGATTTTGATTTTGGGGACTTTGGTTTTGGGGATTTTAATTTTGGGGATATTGTGGTACACCCTTCCAGAGGACGATGCGTTGTTCGCCTCCAACTTTGCAACGGTTTTCTTATGTTTCCTTATAAGATCCTTGTCCCGCTTGGGGAGCTGATCTCTTTACCCATCTTCTTAAGGAACGAAACCAATCTCTTATAGCCATTTTTGGCCTTCTGAGATCGGTTTAGCTCCTTCTTCTTGGTCTCCTTACCCTGACTGGCAGCCGCAGATGCGGAAGACCGCGGTCTTCGCCGAACGATTGCATCTCTGCCTCGGAGCCAATATCATCGACGTTGCTTGCCTGTGACAACGAATCGTCGTCATCGGAAGCGTTGCCGATGGTAAGATTCCGAAACTGAGACCCAATGGGTCGATCTTTGCCTGGCTTCTTTTCTACGGCTGCCTGTCTGCCCAAAGTAGGCTTGGAGACAACCCCCTCTACACTACAAGCAACTCATCATTCCTGTGCTGGTTTGTGAGCTCCCATACAATCGATTTCAAAACCAATCACAGGCGTAATTTTATTACACGTGTACGTATCTGCGCTTAAAATTTGTTGTTGTTGCTGTAAGCGACAAGCTTTATGTGCGCTTACGAATAGTTGTCGATTAAATCAAAATTACTTCTTTCTAAATGGGAATTGTCGATGCTTGTTTTTTTACACGTTAAGCAAGTAAAAACACGCCTAATTATTACTAAAAATTTGTTTATTGTAGCTTCAAATTATTTTAGCCAATAGAGGTATGTTGTACATACACACATAAATAAAAATTCACAAAAGTTGATATAAAATCATTCGTCGATTTACATAATTAACTTTTTGCTGACCATATTTACTGCACATGCTGGGAGGGGAGAGTGGTCCCACTGCTCAAACCGGGGAAACCAGCCAACAAAGGAGATTCGTATCGACCGATAACACTCCTTTCCCCGGTAGCAAAGACACTTTAGGCCTTTCTGCTCCCGTATTTCACGAACCACCTGACCCCAGCGAATCATCAGCATGGTTTCCGTAAAGTGCACAGTACAACAACAGCACTTAACGCCATAAACACTCAGATAATTCGTGACCTCAACCGTAACCGTCCCTGTGAGAACGATTCTAGTAGCGTTGGACTTGTCAAAGGCGTTTGACACTGTCAGCCATTTCACGCTACCAGAAGATATAGAGGCTTCCGCTCTCCCACAGAGGCTCAAACGTTGGTCGGAAAAGTATCTGAGTGGTCGACACTCGTCGGTAATGTTTAGAGACAAATCGAGCAAACTCAGGAAAATAAGACAGGGGGTTCCACAGGGTGCTGTCCTTTCCCCGCTACTGTTCAACTTTTATATTTCAAAGCTCCCTCAACCTCGATTGTCTCTTGCGCCGACGATTGCTCGATCATGGCAACTGGGAAAGGAATTGATCACTTATGTTCGAAAGTAAACGGGTATCTGTCCGAGCTTTCTCGCTTCTTCACTGCAAAGTGCCTAGCCCTCTCCCCTACGAAATCCTCTGCGACCTTGTTCACAACCTGGACGAAGGAGGTCAGGCTACCACTGGGAATTCACGTCGATGATACACCAATTCCGACGGTGAATAACCCCAAAATACTCGGAGTAACATTCGACAGTCTTCTCTCCTTCTCTGCGCACGCAACCGCTATTGTCAATAAAGTACAGAGCCGCAACAAGGTCCTCAAGTCGCTAGCCGGCAGTACTTGGGGCAGAGACAAAGAAACGTTGCTGGCAACATACAAGGCAATAGGCTGGCCGGATTTAAACTACGCAGCACCCGTGTGGTCGCCGGGGACTAGTAGGACGCAGTGGATGAAGCTGCAGACGACACAAAACACCGCACTTAGGACAGCGACTGGATGCCTCCTGATGTCGCCAGAACACCACCTTCATGACGAGGCGAAAATGCTCCCGGTCAGGCATCTCTACGAACTGGCGGACGAAGTCCAGAGGTTCACTAAGCAGCCTGTGGACCCGTCAGCATACCGACAGGCCCTGAACGGCATTCACAGGGAGTTATGTAGACTCCAGACCTGTGAATGCCGTTCTAGGCACACAACCACCGCACATTGACGAGACGGAGCTTCATCTGCCCCACAATAGCCCAACTTCGCTCTGGCTACTGCAGCAGGCTAAACTCATACCTGAGCAGACTAAAAGCGGATGTGCCAAATGAGTGTCCGGCATGCGGAGAGACCCCTCACGACTCGAAACATCTCTTCGCATGCCCGGAAAACCCGACAATTCTAACGGCTTTGTACCTGCGGACCGACCCAATGGAGGCTGCACGCTTCTTAGGGCTGCCGTTAGTGGAACTTGACGACAACGACTGAGATATTAACCGATCTGGGCGGGGTTGCTGTAGCCGCTACAACAACAGCTGCACATGCGTATATGTATGCGGTGGTATGTACACACAAAATGTGCACTGTAAATAAGTTTCCAATAAAATACTGCGTGACAAGAGTAGATTTAATACGGCACAAAGATAATCGTTTGTAACTTAATTTCTGTTGTCCGATGAAAAATTATTACAGTGCGTACTCGGTAACCGCAACCCTCAATACGTGCAATTCCTTGATTAATACGAGTCTTTCAACAAAACATTGTAACCTTTATAAGTGCGACTCCAAAACCATTTAACCTCAGTAACTACAACATTCTTTGTCTATGCATGCCACACACTCAAAATTTGAATTTTTTGCCTTTCTTTGACTTACCAGGGTTCTGGACAACCAAAACGTGGTGTTTTAATTAAACTGATTTGTGAGTTTAAATTAACCAATGAACTGTTATAGAATCAGTCAAAATGAAAGCAAAAGTAAAGATAAAACAATACAAAAGCCGGACTTGGAAAACGGCAAACTTTAAAACAGTGCGACTACCAAAAAAGAATTTCCAAAACTGGTTTTGTTTTGAGAGAAAGTACAATTTTTAAAAGCTAAAATCGGCAAGTTACATTAAAATACCCAAATGAATCTTTTGCCCAGACCAGACATACACTGATGATGGGTCTGGTACATTCTTCGCTTGAGCAAATGCATCTGGGAAACACAAAGTTCTTCTTCTTCTTATTTGGCGCTGTAATCGCATAAGCGATTTTGGCAGAGTCCAAAACAGTACGCCCGTCGTTTCTGTTCTGTGGCAACTGACGCCTATTGGAAATGCCAATTGAAGCCAGGTCCTTCTCCACTTAGGCCTTCCATCTCAGTGGGGACATTCCTTTTCCTATGTTACCAACATCGTGACCCGCGTTGAATACTTTTGAGAGCTGGAGATTCTGTCCATTCGTACGATATGGCCAAGCCAGCGTAGCCGTGGTATTTTGGTTCACTGCACTATGTCATGGCGTTGTAAAGCTCATACTGCTCACGTGCCATCGACTGCAGTAGTTGCCGTCGCCAATGCGTAGAGGCCTATAAATCTTTCGCAGAATCTTTCTCTCAAAAACTCCACGAGCCGCCTCATCAGATGTTTTCATTGTCCATGCATCCGTGCTACAGAAATGATGAGTGACATATAATGTGATTTTTGTACGACGAGAGAGGACTTCACTTCTCAATTGCATACTCAGTCCAAAGTAGTACTTGTTGGCAAGAGCGACTCTGCGTTGGATTTCGATGCTGACATTATTATCGGTGTTAATGCCGGTTCCCAAATAAACGAAGTTCTCCACTTTCTCGAAATTATAACTTTCAGCAATGACGTGAGTGCCAACGCGAGAATGCGCTGACTGTTTGTTTGATGACAGGAGATACTACGTTTTGTCCTCGCTCACCACCAGACCCACACGCTTCGCTTCTCTATCTAATTCCGTGAAGGCAGAACAGAAGTAGCCCTTGCTTTTACCAATAATGTCCATTTCGACGGCACACGCCAGCAATTTTACTCTTTTGTAAAGTATTGTGCCTAGGCAGACTAAAGATATCACACGAATGGGAGTCACCTTGTCTGAAACCTCGTTGCGTAGAAAACGGCTCGGAAAGGTCCTTCCCAATTCTGAGGGAGCTGGTGGTATTGCTCAACGTCATTTTACACAGCCGCGTTTCGCGGGGATACGAAAGTCAGGCATCACGAAATAAAGACAACTTCTTTTCGTGGTGTCGAAGCGGCT